GCGCATCCAAAGAACACCATACCTACTGTGAAACATGGGGGTGGAAACATCATGCTTTGGGGCTGTTGTTCTGCAGAGGGACCAGGACGACGACTGATCCGTGTAAAGGAAAGAATGAATGGGGCCATGTATCGTGAGATTTTGAGTGACAACCTCCTTCCATCAGCAAGGGCATTGAAGATGAAACGTGGCTGGGTCTTTCAGCATGACAATGATCCCAAACACACCGCCCGGGCAACGAAGGAGTGGCTTCGTAAAAAGCATTTCAAGGTCCTGGAGTGGCCTAGCCAGTCTCCAGATCTCAACCCCATAGAAAATCTTTGGAGGGAGTTGAAAGTCCGTGTTGCCCAGCGACAACCCCAAAACATCACTGCTCTAGAGGAGATCTGCATGGAGGAATGGGCCAAAATAGCAGCAACAATGTGTGAAAACCTTGTGAAGACTTACAGAAAACGTTTGACCTCTGTCATTGCCAACAAAGGGTATATAACAAAGTATTGAGATGAACTTTTGTTATTGACCAAATTTTCCACCATAATTTGCAAATAAATTCTTTAAAAATCAGACAATGTGATTTTCTGGATTTTTCTTTCTCATTTTGTCTTTCATAGTTGAGGTATACCTAGAATGAAAATTACAGGCCTCTCATCTTTTTAAGTGGGAGAACTTGCACAATTGGTGGCTGACTACCGGTAAATACTTTTTTGCCCCACTGTATGCTAAGTAGCCTACCTGCCATAAATTCAAAACATAGTGTATCAATTCCAGGTATGAGACAACATCTGATAATGAAGTACCACTACTGTTTTCATATACTGCCTATCACAATAACCAGTGCATCTTCAGAGGCCTGGAGGGTTTAAGTGGTAATAAAGTGCACTTTGGACACATACTTAGGTGTTTAATGGGTTATGATCTGAGAGGGCTGTTTTATAGCTATACTCAGCTGAGAAAACATTGCATCATTTGTATTTCCTTCTCCCATCCCCACATAGATAACAATATCAAATCACACTTGCCTTTTTGTTAAAATTTGTATGGCTATTTATAGTTGGTTGTTTAGGTTCTGCAAAGTTTTCCTTAAACTAAATATGTGAAACTCCATTGCAGTTTTTCAGTAAGATGGCAACTAATCAAAACAACATTTTATATACTGGTTATTTCAAGGTATACTGGTTTTTCTAGACCTACAGAGTTTGAGGTTGAATGAAACAGAGGGAACAACGGGCATGTTGCCCTTTTGATGTGAGGAATGTGTACCCTTCCCCTCAAAGAGATCCAAATGTCACGGTGAATCCCAGCAAAGAAATAAATAATATACTGACACCTCACTGGCCTCTGTAATCGTGTGATGTTGGGTTATTTTGTGCGTGTGTGTTAGAGTGAAAACAAAGGAACAGGACACATACATTGTAAAGACCTAGGTTACGAAATGTTCTTCGTCTAGCTAGCTTTCTAAAGAAGTTGCGTCAATGTGAAGAGTTCTGTGGTGATGACAGTGCAAATCATCACCAACTGGGAAAACAGGTTGACTGCACACAACAGATGTGAGCTTGAGAGATGATATTTATGATGATTGATGATATTTTCAAAGAAGAAGGACACAAATCCAATTAAAAATGTTCTAGTGACATGTTATTTCACAATGGTGTCAATTATTTATGGTGGCCATTCCTCATTGCCTTCACGCAAAGGTCCACTCAGCTTTTTGCCTATTTGTCACTACCATTGTGAATGGTGGATAACGTGCCAATATGTGTGCCAGTATATTTCAGATGGGAAAGCCTAAAGGAGGTAAATAAATCTTTTGCATTATTGTGAGTATTTTTCTTCTTGAAGGCATGGCGAGAAACGTAACAGTGTTACGGGGTAGAGCCGTCTTTAATGTCACAGGAAAGGTGATAAGGCAAAGCTACAAGGTCAACACTACATGCCAAATAGGGCCTGAGGGCTGAGAGCATAACACACACATGCACACACGCATGCACACACACACACAGACACACACACACACCCAGGGAGGTGGAGGCTGGTTAAGGACAGGTGAAGGACAGTTTGAAGGGGCCTCTTAGAGGGACTTGCTGTCGAGACAAAGGTGAGACACACCAGGTTAAGCCAAAGGGTTTAGGCAAGGTGGACAAGAGTGGGGACGATGAAAACAGAATGACACAATAGTAGAGGAGGGTCACTGACATATCATCACTTTCTGAATTAATATGCTGAACTTGAGACAAATAGTACAAAACAAATATTATTGTTCATTAATTAAGAGTTTATGGTCAATGGTTGAATGAAAGTCTTCCCTCCTTTATCTCTTTTGGTTCTGTCCTGAGGGAATTTGTGTTGTTTGGCGGCTTATGCTTTACTATGTTCACCAGCCATTTGCTAACTTCACTGGGCAAATGGTGTGCAGTGTTACAAGCTTTTTAGACCAAAAATCACTACTGAAAGGAAACTACGCTGTAAGAGAATTGAGAATGAAACAAAACAGTGGGCTGAGATACCTGCTGAAGATCTGGAGCAGCTGTGAGACTATGCAGCACAGATTGTGCAGACAGTCCACGGCGTCCTGTGGTGGCGCAGGACCCCCCCCCGGCTGAGCGCTCTGCATGGAGTTAGGGTCAAAGCCCAGAGCTTTGAACACTTCCCAGCTGAAACATGACAGAATAAAATGACCTCAGGGGTTAGTTGAATGGAATAAAAAACAATAGCTTTATCAAAACAAACCTTCTAAAGTGTTTTTCTTTTTTTTGCACGAGGCATCGATCGCTGTACAGAATGATTCGTCTTGCAGCAGAAAACAACACTTGAAAATAACATGAAGTGTTTGCTGCTTAAACGAAATGAAGGCATTTTGTGGAAGAAAATCTGTGAAATCAAATAATCCTCAAATGTTCTCTGCAGTATAAGCATCCCTAATCCCTGTTACACCCACCTCATCTGAAACACATAAGACCAGAGGTGTTCAAACAGGGCCCACACTTCCTGGTGCGAGAAAGGAGCAGGCGTGGGTTGTTCCGCTTCTTCTTCATCATCATGATACTCATCATCTTCATTCATGACAACATCGATGGCAGGAGATTCCCACTGCACACACAGACAAAGATGATAAAGCTATCAAATCCAACAGTGTGTAAAAACCTGCGTATGATATACAATATATTTATGCTATAAGGTATAAGCCTATGGTATAAACACAAAACACAGTATCATATCTTTTTTGTATTTCTGTGCTTTCCAAAACATCACAACATCAAACACAATTCAGAGATTGCAGTCGTAGAATAGTGGCCCACCCTTTGGACAGATAAGAAGTGGAATATGTTTGAGCTGTGATTGCATTAGGAACATTTAAACTCCAAATTAGCTCCTAGTTTACCTGTGGTTGTCGCTTATTGAAAATGTTGTCCATTCTGGAGATGGCAGGGGAAACGCGTCTTGACCTTTTCCCAAATGCTTTCACAAGCTCCTTAGCATCTCGGAGGAGTGCTGATGCATCTCTACAGTGCGATGTGCCACCTGAGCAGACACAGGACAGGAAGATATGAGCACATATGCACCATCAAATAAAGGGACACTTGCATTCAGTTGCCGTTTTTCTACAGATACACCTAGGCAAAAGGGGACACACAAGTTTTGTGTGTCTGTGTGTGGGAAACAAAAGAGCCAGGCAAAGAAACATTGTGGACAAAAACAGAACAGGGCTGCAACTATTGATTGATTTTATCATTGATTCATGTGCTGATTAGTTCCTAGATTAATTGTGTGCTCTAAAAAACATCATAAAATAGTAGAACATGTTCCATTCCAGTTTCTCTAAATCAAGGTGATGTCTTTAAAAGTTTTGCTTTGTCAACAGAAGATGTTATGCAATTTCTGCATGAAGAATGTCTAATCTTCATGATTAATCATCTATGAAATTGTGAATGTTCTATTATAAGTCAAGGTTACTGTGAGCATGTGTGTTTGTCCAACTGTGATCCAAAATGCTATGAGACTTTGCTTTTCCTGAATATTTGAAAGGACATAACAGATTCAGAATGACTATCAAAACAAAGAGCCAGAAGTTGGTTGAGCATTTCTATAGTAGTGCAACTTATGTTAAATGATTTCCCGACCCATTACTTTGTAGTGGAATCAGGCTGCGTCATTTTAATCTACTGGACCCTATGATAGGTGACACCGGTCTCTAGCCCCAACCTAACATACCTTTGAGCTAATTTAAAACTACCCATAAAGCTTTGTCTCTTTTTAGGCGGTTGTAAAAGATGTGTTAAAGGTCACCTATTATGCAAAATCCACTTTTTCATGTCTTTTATACATAAACATTTACTGTGTAAAGAGCTTCTGAAAGTTTCAGGAAAAAAGGTTCTCTCACTTTTTGTCCTGATCCATTTATATAAAAACCTGTCTGAAAATGACCTTTTTCTTGGCCACTTTATGATGTCATAATGTTTTTTGGCTTGTGTAACCATTAGCCAATAACTAACCAAGGTAACCCCCCCTCCCCCCCTTTTTAACCAAATATCTCTCAGAGCGGCGTGGGGAGTGGCTCCTTATTTTCATTTAAAGTACCAGACAGAGAATCAGCCCTTTTGAAACCGGGCTGAAACAGAGGGGTTTATGGGACGCCACAATGATCTGTTTGGTATTTGGAGCCAAACACTTCAGAGACATGTTTTGAATATATCTGAGACCTATAATATATTGAGGAGAAACAGTATAATAGGACCTTTAAGACTGACTACAAACACACTAACAGTCTGCTCAAGGGAGAACAGCAAAAACAAAACAAAACCACATGCAGTACTTTTCCACTCTGACATTCGTTCTTAGCCTCACATACGGTTTACCCCTCCCTCCCTCTCTCCCTGCTCCTTTCTTCCACCTTTCCTCCTCCTCCTCGCCCTTCTGTCACAGTCTTGGAACAGAGCCAGGCTGCGTGGTACACCAAGAAATCCTGAATAATGTCAGCGTACCAGGGATACAGAGAGCAAGGGCAAAACTCCATTGTTTTCCATAAAAACATTCTCGGAAGCCTTCAAAAATAATTGGGCCACAGTTCAAACTCAAACAGGTGGACGGGGAGATTTAGATACACACAAACACAAACACACACGCGATTACATGTGATGTTATTAGATCCAGTAATGAGATCCAGACACAGCAGGGCTGCAGTGGACAGCTCAGCATCTGTTTGACACACATTTGAGTGTCCTGTTTTAGCCGATGACCTGATTCTGCATGTAGTTCTGTAGGGCTGTAGGGCTGTAGCGCAGTGCAGGGCACACCACATCATACAACAGTGGAGTAAGCGTTTTACCTGGGGGATGACTCAGTATTTAAACTCACTGTCCAGAGAAGTAAAAAAAAAAGGCTACGCTTACAGTCTCTAAACTGTCACGGTGCATTAACACAGTGAGGTATCTTTGCATTTAGAGACCACTGGGAGCTTTGCCTTGTTGCTTCAGCAGATGTGAACGTTTGTGCTTGTGTACCTTAAGATATTTTTATTTTTCCCGAACTCCATTGCAAACCTCTAAATGAAGATTAAAATCAGCTCCTAGGATGTTTTCAGCTACCTTGTATGACGTTGTCAAGCTTTCCTTTTACTAGCAACAGAGAAAAATGCTTAATACATTTGTTTTAACAGATTTTGAGATGAGTGACTCAGCATTATGTAAGCCATATTTTAAATCACAGTTCGTGGCAAAGCAGCTTAAAATAAGATCAAATTCTAAAACTGGATTGATTTATCAGACCAGATTATATGCTCATTCCTAAACTGAGTAATATATTCATTTTTATTTGTATTTTAGTTTCATTTCTCAATTAAGAGATTCAGAGATTCCAAACAAAAACCAAAATAATGATGATATTTAACTGGGGTAAAATGTATTTTAAAAAATATATATATATATATGTGTTTTTATAAATACTGTTGAGAAAAACTGAAATACATGTAGTTGCTCCCTTTCTTCTACCTACATACCTGAATTGAAAAAGTTGATGAGGGTTGAAACAGTTTGCTGTTTCCTCCGTGGGACAATGTTCCCAAAGACTGCAATCCAGTGCTTTTTAAAACATTTCAGAACATCTAGAAGAGTCCATGGAGGTTTTATGTAAACTATCTGTGAAACAATAAAAAAAACACAATAAAAATTATCTACATGAAAAAATACAAAATATTGCATTGTTCAAAATGACATCCAGACACGTATGTAGCACAAGGACTGACCTGAGGAGGAGATATGATTCATCATTTTCCTCCAAAAACACATACATCTAATGACTTCAAAGTCATGCGAAGATTAAACCAAAAACAAATGTTTGATCTCCTCAGATAAGATTTTGATGTTTTAAATGCACGTTAATTACAAATATAAGCTAAAAAGATCAAATGAAATTCTAAGTGCAATCTTACATCTAGCCAAATGTCTTCGAAAGCGGCCTTCATCTCCACCTCCAACACATCTGACAGCACGTCGAGCAGACACTGTTCTAGTTCAGAAACACTGCTGGGGTCCCACACTGGCCTCTCGTCCCCTCGCTTGTTATCTGTTATCAATTGCACACATAACGTTTGTATATGAGATAATGTATGAAATAAAACATAATGCAGGACAGCACTTATTCTTGAGCAAGATTATACATGTATGTACAGCAGCAAAGAACAGGAGCACATGCTAACTGTCCATTGACTGTGTGATGGGGAGGATTTCACTCTTTATTGTATTTAATTACTTGTTTGTTAAATATATGTCGCCTGAATGGAGGCAAACAAAGCATGGAAAAAAGTGGTAAGACATAGCAAGTGAATGTATGGATGTTTTGCTTGAACTATTACAACATTACAGAATATGGCAAGTAATTCCTGTTCTGCAAGAAGCGCACATTCATCCCTGGCTCACCGTTCTCCTCTACAGTATGGAGTACTGTCCTTTGCATGCGTGGCTGGACTGGTGCGTAGATCCTGTTTTGCATTGCTGATGGGACCTGAGGGCCGACATTTTGCGGAGGGTGAAAGCCATGTTTGGATCTCCCAACCTCTGCCTCCAGATCAATCTTGCACAAGGCCTTCACTCCACTCAGGAGGGCCTTACTGCACAGGTTCTTATCATTCCTAGAAAGGAAAAAGGGGAACACATGTATTTTCTTTACCAGGAAAGTCTATATGGCAGTGTTATCACAAACAACATCAATAAGACCATTAAATCTCATCTATTTTACAGCAGCCTAAATGAATGCCTGCCCCCTTTCTCTATTAATGTTGTGTCTTTAAATATTGGCATTCAAAGAAATAGGTAAGATGGAAAAAGAAGGTGAAACAATACAATGTGCACATTCATCATTAACCAGTTACTCTGTCTGCCCCTCTCTTTCTTTCAGCCCAACTGGAACTATCTGGCTGGACCCACTCTCAGTCACATGCATGTGCATTATTGCAGAGGACAGAGACTCTGCAGCAGCAGCAGTAAAGGGCGGGGGAAGGGGAACTCACGTGCATAGGATTTGAGCACACTCTGGGTACAGACTCTGGTATTGCAGGCAGCACTGCAGCACCCGATCATCATTATTCTCGGCATTCAGACCATCTGGGGACAAGGAGGTACAATAAGAAGAGAGAGGACGAGGAAGACAGAGAGAAACCTGACAGTCTTTAACGGGAGAATTGTTTAATTCACAACACTGAAAGCAGTGTACAAGAGTATTCTTTCAAATAAAGACAAGGAGGAAGATTCAAAGATGAAGAACACAAGATGGAGATTCAAGGTGCATTTCAAGAGAGGCACTAAATGCTTATAAGCTCCTAAATTCTTAGCAATAGTCAACAATATTTCTGGTAAATCTACTTTATCCCATGCCTTTTCGAAGAGAATTTCATCCCACCGTTGAAAAATGTATGTCTGATCAATAATATATACAGCTGAGAAGTGGGTGACCTCATGCATGGGTGAAACCTGCCCTTGAGATGCTCACAGCCATAGACTGTATATCTCACAGCGTATGAATAATTCTGGAACACAAGCTACGTGATAGTGCCACCTAGTGGTAGACGGGACGCCGGGCAGCTCTGCGGCTGTGTGTGTAAATTAATAATGTACCGTTAAGGTGGAGAATTGCTATAAATAAAAGACCATATGTTCAGTCAAAAGTCATTAAAATCATTGATAACAAAAACTACAAAATAATGCATTTTATTGATTTTGGTTTTCTCAATGAATTAATTAAAAATCAACGACCAGGCGCTAACAGAACTTGTTTATTTAGAAATGTTTACAGTCTACAAGGAGTTGTAGATTATTCTAATGTGCTGCTCTTACTCAAGTGCTTTTGTTTTGCCTGCACTCACTGTTATGATTATTTTGTAACCAATGCTGGCATTTATATTAGCCTGCTTTTTCTAAGATAAAATCCAAAAGTACTCATAATACATCTGAAATGAGCTCATGAACAGGTTATGGAGACATAACAACTTTCACTGACTTTGTACAGTCCCTACTTGTAGGGTTGCTCGATTATGGCAAAAATCATAATCTCGATTATTTGGGTCAATAATTGTAATTGCGATTATTAAATGCGATTATTCATTGACTTTAAAAACATCCATTTATTGGAGAAAAAAAATGTGAACAGTATGTTTTTAACAATTGATTACCCTGAACTTTAAGTATAATTCAACAGAAAAACCCAAAAAATAATATATAAAAAAATAATAAATATAAAGTAATAATAATAATTAAAAGAATAATAGTTTTATTTCGATTACGTTGTTTTCTTAATCGTTGCAAGCCATAATCGTAATCGCGATTAAAATATGATTAATTGAGCAGCCCTACCTACTTGTATGTAATACATTTATTCCACTTTCAATGCACTGATCATTCCCATATCTTCCTTAAATCAGCACTCACTGTTGCTCTCGCTGGCCTGCTGCATAGACTGCCCCCACAGGAAAGGTGCCCGGCTCTTTAAGCAGTTGTAAATGTACGAGATGGCAGGAGTAGCGAGGTGGGCCACAGACCCTGACAGACCCCTCCCTCGTTTGAGGGAGTCCAACTCCTGAAGCACCACCCAGGGGATCAGGACTATCGGGAAGCCCAGGTCTAAGAGAGAATGAAGGGGAGAAAAGGGAACCAGTGATTAATCAGATGTCATAACAAATGTGCATTTCATTATGAACAGAAGCAAGCTCAAATAAAATGGAAATGGGAATTCATACGTTCTTGGAAACTGTGTTCTGTATTAATACACAGTGGAAAAACACAATTGATATGCTGTGATGTTCATTAACCCTAACAAATGACATTATTATTTAAAATGATGATATGTAAGTAGAAGGTTGAGGACTGAGAAACATGTATTGGTTATTTCTAATGAAGATGCAAACATATTTTGCTTTGGGACATCTTGTTAGGATGCTTGATAATAGTTCAACGTCTGGTGAGGAATATCTTTAGCTTACAACTGGAAACTTGTAAGTGAAACCTACTCGATAACTTTTATAATAGCATGTTATATCATTATATAAAGCATATGAAATATATCAATTATTCTATAAGAAAAATCCAGTATTAAAACAATTATAAACACCTCCAAGGCCGTTCATTCTGATCTTTTTGATATAATCCAGGTGACTGAGGAGAATGTTGGTGTCCATGACGAGGATGAGGTATTGCTGGTTAGGTTGTTTACCTGCAAAAAGGAAATGACATTTCATGAATAATGACATGTTCAAAAGTTCCGAAGGAATCAAATCATACCAAAACAATTTGAGCAAAAGTGTAGCGACTGTGAAGTTATGTATCAGAATTTTTCTTTATTTTGAAGGAACAGAAATGTTGTGAGGACTTTGTGATGTTATATTCTTATATTCTGATCCATATTATGTGCAGTTACTCTATAATCCTAAAATGATTGCAAAATATATGTACAACATTTTTTGCATTTCCTTATTAATCAATACAACTCACAGTGTGTGTCTGCACCGCCCTCTTCTGGAGGGTCTATGTCCATACAGGTGAGATCCCCATAGCTTTGCATTACATTCACCTCCAATCTCTTCTGAGAGCGAGCAAGATGAAGCTCTTCGACCACTTGCATCTACAGAAAAACACATTTTTAAAAATAAACAAAACAACTAACATTCTATCTGCCATTTTAATAACACACTGATGGTATTACAATAAACTAGCTGACGGAATGAAACAAAGGTAGTACGGGAAAAAAAACCTCCTTATTACCTGGTCATACCACGGCGCTGGGACAGTATGAAACGTATTTGGAAGTTGTTCTGCCAAAGGTGGGCCTTCATCTTGTCCTTCAGATGAAACACTAGGTGTAACATCTGGAGAGACGGGAGCTTGCTGAACAGTTTTCTCCCCCGATTTGCTGCTTGATGCTGCAGTTTCTGGAAGCTCAGGCACAGGTTCAAGACCTTTCTTTGTAGTTTTTGCTTCTTTCTTTTCAACAGTGCTTTCTACTGGAGTTGGTCTAACTTTTTTTGGTATCTTAAATTTAAAAGGCACAAATGGTGGGGCTGCATATACTTGTTCCTGAGAAGATGATGGCTTTTGTGACCCCAATGTGACTTTTTTCACCACCTTTGAGCTACTAACAGAGGTAGAGGTAGTGGAGGACTTTGTTGTTGTAGAGGCAAAGGGAGTTTCAACTTCTATCCACATGCTCTTTTTGGCCTTGTTTTCTTCATGCCTTTGGCACATCTTCTTGAAGACGTCACTCTTCTGCTCCCACGCAGAATCCTTGGATACGGAGGAATTATTGCTAGGTTCCTTGGTCTTGACAGTTTTGCTATCATTTTCAGTCCTCTGTGATTCCTTGGCTCTGTACTTCTTCAGTTCATTCTTCCCCTGTTCGTTCTGTTCAGCACAAACCAAACTGGGACTCATTAGGTGCTTTTTTAATTTGGATGGGGTCCCCTGGGAAGACTTCTCATCCAAGCTGCCTTTAGATGTCTTCTCTGTCCCCTGAGGAACTGCACCTGAAGTATGCAAGTGTTTTGAGGGTCCTGCTTCCTCAGTTTTACTCCCACTGACAGTTTTATCTTTCCGTGAAATGTCATTTTTTGCTTTACTAGAGAATTTCCCCCCAAGGTCTGGTGGAGAGGCATGTTTTTTTTTTGTTCTTTCTTCTTCTTTTTTAACAGATTCCTGGTCTTTTTCTTTTGTTTTTGCCAGCCTGTAGACAGGCTTTTTAATCTGGCGAGTACTTTGGGGAACATCTTTAACGGAAGGAAATGCACTTTTTTCTGGTTTTGTTTCAAATCTTGATGTAGAAGAACAGAATAAATGTCACAGTCGCATATAATTAACACATACTTCATTCAAGTGAACCGTGCGTTTAATAGGCTACATAATATCAATAGTAATATTTTTTTTTAAATAAAAAATTCTGAATCATACCTCTCCTGATTTTTTAAATCTGGCTTCCCCCTGCTACTTTTGTTATTCTTGGTGAGATCTTGTTTCTTGGATTCCTAAAAAAAAAGAAAACATATTGTTAAAATATGGAAATGGCTTGTTATGGGTAAAACAAAAATAATCTGCTACAATTTTGGTAATTGTTTTATTATTTTCAATTATTCCAGAATGTTTTTGATGGAATAGCCAAATGATGATTTTTACACATTATGTGATATTGTGAAATGTAAGAGGATTTTTTTCATATTGGCTGTTGAATTCCTTCTTACCTTCTCATCTTCTTCACTTGACAATGACAAGCCCCTCCGCCTTCTTTTTTTTGCCTTTTTTGACATTTTCCTGTGAAACATTGATTTGTAAAAGTTCTTTAGTGACTATGCTTCATCCTAATACAACAATACATGTTGATCTTCGATAAGGTTCTTCCTTCTTTTGCTCTCAATATAAAAAAACTGGAAATGTGAAATAGCCATTTTTAACTAATGCAGAATGAGACTTTTTCTAAAGTGTGATTAAGAAAGTAAAATGGAAATATCCCCTAAATCTTACAATCTATGTATTGAGCTGTGAATAATAGGGGTGTAACGGTACACGAATAATTTTGGTAAGGGCCCTTCGGTTCGGTACACGTGTGTACCGAAGTGTACAGAACGAATATAACGTTAAACGTAAAACATTGAGAACGTGAACAACTTTTTGGAAGTAATCTCAGGTGCTGCGTCGCAGCATTCAGAGTAATTTGCTCACATTGGGTTCAACGCGTCTTATGCGGCTTTCACACCAGCGCTTTTCCCTTTCTAGCTCCGAGCTAGAGCTTTTCTGGTTCAGCTCCGGTTTCCCTTTTCTGCTCCCGCTCTGTTCACACCGCACAGAGCCCGACTGGTGCAGTCGCTGCTGCGTCATGACGTCACCGTTTACATCGCTGATTTGCTCCCCAACGGCGCTCACAACAACAACAACAACAACGGGGGACTGCGTCGGGTCGATGATCGTGTTGCTTTTAATCATACGAAGTCAGATTAAATAAGATAACGACTTCTCCAAGCTTATACTTTTCTCCAGAGTGCCGTGGTTCATTGTTTATTAATGTGTTTCAGCGGCATTTACCGACCGCTGCAGTGCTGCTCGTCCACTGGAGTTTATTCTCCCGTTAGCTCTGGGCTAGCTAATACTTTAGAGCGGCCTCTCTAAAGTATTCACTGTCTGACTGTCACACAAGCAGCTGATACATGGAGCCTCCCCTGTCATACTCCAATGTAACGGAAAAACAACTAAAGAAAAACTAAATAGTAATAATAATAAAATGTCTCCACTGATCTATGATGTAAGTGTGATTTATGTATGATTCCAATCGCTTTTTAAAGTCAAAATCAGCCAATTTGCCAAGCTCCGCTACAACTACAGGTAGCGATGAGAAGTGAGGCAGGGACGAGCTCTGCCTTTCGTAAGCCCACAGTAACTTGCTGGAGCACGGGCACTAATTTAGCGCGGGCACTTATTTTGTGCCCGCGCTCAAGCCAGTTACTGAGGAGGCACAGATGAGCTCTGCCTCACCTCAGAATGTATCACCCCACAGAAACTGGCTGGAAAGCGGGCACTAAGCGCATGCCTGTTACCATCTCACTGTAGGTCACCAATGTAATGTTTGTAGATCCCTTTATTACATTTATTACATAGTCTCTAAATAATTTATTTAACGTATATATGACATTTAGGCTCGCTGGTCTCATCATATAACGGCAATGAAAAAAGCAGCAGGAGAGGCAGCCATAACCTCTGCCGCACTGAAGGGGGCGCACGTGAGCCCACAGGTTCTTGTTGCTACTGTTATTCTACGCAGAGACGGATACACACAAACAACAAACTAGACTTTTGAAACTACAGGAAGATAAAGAGGACTTTTACAAAAAACTAATAGAGATTGTTGTCCAGAAGGAGAGCATGGACTTAATCTTCAAGTCAAGGTAAGACCACAATTATAATGAAAATGGGATCTTACTAAGAAAGAACAATCCAATATTTGGATTTTGGGTATCCTTTTGTTGAACGGTCTGTTTAAAATGAATCGAAG